AGAACAAAAAAATCTAAAATTTATATGGAGCCACAAAGAACATTGAATAGCCAAATCAATCTTGAGAAAAAAGAACAAAGCTGGAGGCATCGTGCTCCCTGATTTCAAACTATATTACAAAGCTACAGTAATTCAAACAGCATGGTACTGGCATAAAGGCAGACATATAAACCAATGGGACAGAATAAAGAGCCCTGAAATAAATTCACGTATGTATGGTTAACTGATTTTGACAACAGTGTCAAGAATACATATTGTGGAAAAAAATAGTCTCTTCAATAAATGTGTTGGGAAATCTGGATATCCAAATGCAAAATAAATAAAATTGGACCCTTATCTTATACCATGCATTAAAACAAACAAACAAACAAACAAAAACAACCTCAAAACGGATTAAAGACTAAAAAGTAAGACCTGAAACTGTAAAACTCCTAGAAAAAAACATAGAGGAAAACCTCCATGACATTGATCTTGACAATAACTTCACAGATATGACACCAAAAACACAGGGAAAAAAAATACTCAAGTTGTACTACATCAAACTAAAAAGCTTCTGCACAGCAAAGAAAACAACAGTGAAAAGGCAATCAATGAAATGGGAGAAAATATTTGCAAGCTATATATTCGATAAGGGATTAATTTCCAAAAAATATAAGGAATTCTTACAACTCAATAGCTAAGAAAAACCTTAATGATTCATTTTAGAAATGGACTAAAAACTTGTGTAGACATTTCTCCATAGAAGACATACAAATGCCCACAGATATATGAAAAGATGCTCAGTGTCACTAATCATCAGAGAAATGCAAATCAAAACCATAAAAAAGACAACTGTTGGGGAGGACATGGAGAAACTGGAACCTTGTACACTGTTGGTAGGATGCAAAATGGTGCATCCAGTGTGAAAAATAGTATGAAGATACCTAAAAAACAAAAAATAAATAAAAATAGCACTACCATATGATCCAGCAATCCCACTTCTGGTTATTTGTCCAAAAGAATAGAAATCAAGGTTTTAGAAAAAAAATAAACACTTGTTTATTGCAGATCTATTCAAAATAGCCAAGATGTGAAAACATCCTAAATATCCATTGATGGATGAATGGACGAAGAAAATATGGCATATACATGCAATGGAATACTGTTCTGCCTTAAAAAAAAGAAGAAAATTCTGCAATATGGGACAACATATGTGAACCTGGAGGACATTATGCTAAGTGAAAGAAGCCAGTCACAGAAGGACAAATATTGCGTGATTTTACTTCTGTGAGATGTCTAAAATAGTCAAACTCATAGAATCAGAGAGTGGAATTGTGTTTACCAGGGACTAGGGGAGAGGGGAGGGAAGGAAATGGAGAGTTGCTGATCAATGAACATGAAGTTTCAGTTATGCAAGCTGAATAAGTTCAAGAGATCTACATAACACTGTACCTATAGTTAACTATACTGTATTGTATACTTAAAATTTTAAGAGGGTCGATCTCATGTTAAGTGTTCTTACCACAAATAAAATAAATTTAAAATCCAATTTCTGTATTTTAATTGTAGATTTAATTAACTTACATTTATTGTTATTACTGACATATTTAGAATAATTTCAATCATTTTAGTTGGTAAGTTCCGTTTGCTGTTTTTTCCTTTGCTTCTTTTTCCTTTTCTGTGGAATATGACAAAGTTGAGGATACTTTTCTTTTTTCCCTTCTGCTGAATTGGAAGCTATAGATTATATTTCTGTTCCTTTCGTGATTACTGTTATTTTTTATTGGCTCCAACAAATGATGTCATACACGTATATTCAGGTGCTACCATTCAATGTCTCTAAATCATTGGCTGCGAACTCCAGGTAAGAGAAAACACAGAGGTTCTGTTGTACTTGGTGGATTTTGTTTCCAATGAAGTCACCGTGGGTCTTTTGTCTATTACTTTTCTCAAAATATTCTTCATTTTGTTTTAAGGACAGACACCATGTTTTATACATCTTTGTTACTTGTTTACGCATTCTTTTTTCCCCTCTGTAACAATTTGATGAGTTTCAACAAATGCATGCATTCATGTAATCTGTATCTCTAACAAGATAATGAATACTTCCACCACCCCAGGATGTTCACTTGTGCCCCTTACTTCCAAAAGAAAGTTTTTTGTTTTTTTTTTAAAAAGATGAGTTTTGCCTGTTATAAAACTTCATATAAAAGGACTCACATAGTATGTACTCCCTTGTCTCTGGCCTCTTTGCTCAGCATAATGTCTGTAAAATTTACCAATGTTGTTGTGTAAATCAGTTTTTTGTTTTTATTTTGCCAAGCTGTATTCCATTGTATCAATGTACGAAATGTGTTTATCTATTCTCTTGTTGATGAACATTTGATTTGTTTCCAAATTTAGGCCATTGTGAATAAAATTGCTATGAACATTCTTGTATAAGTCTTTTTGTGGACATATGTTCCATTCTCTTGGCTAATAACCTAAGAATAAGATTGATGGCCGATAGATAAGTATAACTTTCTAAGAATCATTGATAACTGTTATGTCTTCCTTGGGAGTTGAAACTTTTATTATTATGACATGTCCCTTTTTACTTCTGGAAATAATACTCTATCTTAAAGTCTATTTGTCTGATTTTAATTTAACCACTCTAGCTTTCTTATGTTTACTGTCTGCAAGATATGACTTTATTCACCTTGTTGCTTTCAATCTGAGTCTTTACATTTAAGATGTGTCTCTTATAGACAGACTATAGATGAGTCTTGATTTTTTTTTATCCAGTCTAATCACCTGTTTTTCAGTTGGAGTGTTTATTCTATTAACTCTTGCTATACAGATGGACATAATTAAAATTGAGTGTGTCAATTCCTATTTGTTTTTTATTTGTCCATCTGTTTTTTGTTCCTCTGTGCTTCCTTTCTTATCTTTTTGGGTTAATCTTTTTTCTTTTTTTTTTTTTTTTTTTTTTTTTTACTATTCAATTCAATTCCTCTCTTGGCTTTGTAGCCATATTTCTTTGCATATTTTTTTAGTGGTTGCTCTACTACAAATATGCATCTTTAACTTATCACAACCTACTTAAATATTGTACTACTTCACATAAAATATGATTTCGCAATAGTATAGTTCCATTTGTGTTGTTGTTGTCATTTATATTTCATCTACTTACATGATAAACGTTTATATAAGTACAATATAATACTTTAATTCCTACTTTAAAGAGTCATATGATTTTTTAAAAAAATACATAGTCTGTTGGCATCCATGAAGATGTGTTACTTAGACCTTTCCCTTCAAGAAAACTGCTGTGAGGAGAATGGTTGGTGGACAGTCTCCTGCAGCATTCATGCTGAGACCTCACCATTCCCAGGCTGCTCTCAGCCAGTGATTGAGCATAGCAGAGGTCCTAGAGGCAGGCCATTCTTGCTGACATGGGACAATCATGTCAGCAAGATATGCCCACTCCTCTCATGGGTAATATTTGCTCTGGAGATCCCAATTCTCCAGGCCAAGAATATTTCAGAGCTACACTTCAGGAAAGGCTTCTGCTATACAATCCTTCCTCCTTGCTCCTCCCCTTTGACAGATGTCAGACCTACACTGGTGTCTGAAGCTCTCCTTACTCTTCCTTCTACTTCCCTGTACCCTTCAGGGGCATTTTCCCCACATAAATCTCCTACATGTCTACTTGTCTAGGCATCTGCTTCCTGGAGGACTTGAACTGATGTATTCTTTTATATATATACGCTTTTACTATTTCTGGTGCTCTTCATTCTTTCCTGTAGATTTGAATTTCCAGGAGACTGGCCCAACCCCAGACCTACTGGATGAAAATATACTTTTCACAAGACCCCTAGGTAATTTTGCATACACATTATTTTTGAGAAGCACAATTCTAGCTGTCATCGTCTTATCACACTATTGTGTTTTCTTTTTTTCCCTTTCTAGGATTTGAACTACATAGAAACACTGTCTAAGTCTATTGGTACAGAGTATATGGTCAATAAATGTTTATAGAATGAATAAAATAGGGGAAATGACATGCCTACTAAGAGGCTGTTTGCTTTTGATGAGGGCTGCATATGAGGCTGGCATTCCTATGTTTTCATTAACTGTCACACTCTAGCAAATAACAGGAACCACTCCACATTGGGCCCACCAACACTGTCATTGCATAGTCTCATAGCAAAAGGTTTTTTATCTTTTGATGGAGCTGTTGGTGATCTAAGATTTTTTTAAGTCTGAAATCAGAGAGCTTATGTTAAGTTACGCTTAGAAACTTAATCCCCTCCGCCCCCCCCCCAAAATCCATAAAAATAGGGCCAAGGAGAATGGAATTAGATTAGGCCATAGCCATTGCTCTTTGCTAGAGGAGAGGAGGAGGCTGGAAGGAGATCTGAGATTTATCAGGAATAGAGTGAGAAACGGGGGAAGGATGGCAAAAGGGGAAGACGAGAAGAAAGGAAGGTGTATATGGGAAGAAAAGAAATTCCCTATAAGCATCAGACATGGGGACAGAGAAGGAATATGTTAGCATCCCATCCAGTGCTTAACGCTTGATAACGGCCTGCTGAATTAAGTGCCAATGCCCAACATTCAGAATTCTCCACGTAACATCCACATCTCATCCTTCAGCCATACCTTTCTATTATCCCTCTGTGTGTCCCACTCCAGGCAACCTGCGTCACTGAATATTTATCCTTGTTGACCTGGATCACTGCTCAAAATGCCCTCTTGACTGTCACCTTGTCTGAGCTCCTTATATAAAAATTCTACCACCCCCTCAAGGCCCTTCCCAAATGCCCCTCTGCCTTGAAAGCTTTCTTTTATTCCCTACAATGGATGACCTAGTCATCCTCTTTGCATAGAAGCCTCTCCTGTGACTACCTTCAAGTCTAGTTATTGGTGTACTTATCTTCTCTTATTCAACTGCAAGTATCGTTGTCCATTTTCTCTCTCTCAATCTAGAACACAGCCCAGTGAGGATCAATGCAGAAAGCATCTATCGAGCATGGAAAGTGAAGTGGTTTCAGTTTATTTGCAGTGAACTTACCTGGAGATAGAGTGACTCCCTTCTCAGAAAATTATCTTTCACTCTATTTTAAAACTTTGAAGTTTTCGTTTTGCTAGGTGGATCAGCTTCCTTTTTCTGACTTCAGTTATTGACTAAACCATGCACATTGGTCCCATCGACAGTTCCTCTTCCATCTCCCACCGCTGATGGCTCGTCTTCAATCATGCATTCAACCTGGAGTATTAACATAGCAGGCTGTTCTCACCCGTGGTTTTGACCACTTATGAGTGGCCTAGGAGGTTGATGTCATAATTTACGATCTTCCTAGGACATAAATTTGTAAGAGTTGCCTGATGTGAAAGAATAAGTCACTTGAGCGTGAGCATACCTACCTGACCACCCACTACATTGCGACATAGCTCTGTTGTTTGCTACTCACTCTAGAATTTTGGTGACTCGTGGGGAAAGCTCAGAGTGTCAAAGGGTTAACTGGACTCAGATATGTTTGTTTGGCCCACTCAGTGTTGACTTGTATTAAATTTAGAAAAACATGTTGATTACCGACATATTTTTTATTGATTCATTTTTATTAACTAAAGTCCATGGTTTATACTAGGGTTCACTCCCGGTGTTGTACAGCTCTATGGGTTTTTACAAATGCATATTGTCATGTATCCACCACTACAATATCACATATAATAGTTTCACAGCCCTAAAAATCCTCTGGGGTTCCCCTTCTCATCTCTTCCACCCTTTTTCCCAAGCCTACGGCAATCACTGTTTTTTTTAATGTGTCTATAGTCTTGCCTTTTCCAAAATGTTATATATACCATGTTGCCTTTTCAGACTGCTGTCTTCCATTATATGCATTTAAGGGTCCTTCATGTCTTGCCATGGCTTGATAGCTCCTTTTAGCGCTGAATAACATTCCATTGTATAGATTACTGCAGTTTGTTTATCCATTCACCTGTTGCAGGACATTTTGGTTGCTGCTTTATTCATATTTATGAATAAAGCTGCTATAAATATTCGTGTGCATGTATTTGTATGGACACGAGTTTTCAGATTATTTGGGTAAATAACAAGGGGCACGCCTGCTGGATTGTATGGCAACACAACGTTTAGCTTTGTAAGAAACTGCTAAACTGTCTTCCGAAGTGGCTGTATCATTTTGCATTCATGCCAGCAATTAATGAGATTTCCTATTGCTCCACATCCTTGCCAGCCTGTGGTGTTGCCAGTGTTTTGGATTTTACCCATTCTAATAGGCGTATAGTGGTATTCCCTAATGACACATAATGGTGAGCATCTTTTCATATATGCATGTATATATCTCTTTGGTGAAGTGTCTGTTCAAATTTTTTATCTATTTTTAATTAGGTTTATTTTCTTATTGCTGAGTTTTAAGATTTCCTTGTATAATTTGGATACAAGTCCCACAGAATATGTGTTTTGCAAAGATTTTCTCCAAGTTTATGGCTTGTCTTTTCATCGTCCTAATAACATATTTCACAGAAATTTTTAATTTTACTTATCTTTTTTTTTTTTTCATGGATTGTATTTTTGGCACTGTATCAAAAAAATTATGGCTGAACCCAAGCTTGGCTGGATTTTCTTGTTGGCTATTCTGGGTCTTTTGCTTTCTCATACAAACTTTAGAATCAGTTTATTGATATCTACAAAATAACTTACTAGAATTTTGATTTGAGATTGTATTGAATTTAGAGATCAAATTGAAAAAATGTACATCCTAACAATTTCAAGTTTTCCCATTCGTGAACATGGAATACCTCTTCCTTTGTTTAGATTTTCTTTAATTTCTTTCATCAGGGTTTTATAGTTTTCCTCATATAGATCTTGTACATATTTTGTTAGATTTGTACTTAGTATTCAAATTTTTATGGTAATATAAATGATGATGTTTTTTTAATTTCTAATTTAAAATTTTAATTTTAGTATACAAAAAAGAAATTGACTTCTGGATCAAACTTGTACTCTCTGCAACCTTGTTATCATTGCTTATCACTTCCAAGGTTTTTATGTGTTAATTCTTTGGGATTTTCAACATAGATGATCATGTCATCTACAAATAAAGACAGTTTTATTTCTTTCTTCCTAAATCTGTAAATCTTTTCTTTTCCAGTCTGATTGCATTAACTAGTACTTCCAAATAAAATCAAGACATTTCATATAAATGTCTATATTTCTGCCTTCTCTTGAAAAAAAAAAAAAAGATAGAGAACTGAGCAAGCAGCCTATTTTGGCAGCCTTTGTCTGGAATTGATCAATGGTTGCCCTTTTAGATGAAGCATCTGCTTCTACTTCTCTGAAGTCCCTAACACTTCCTGGTAATGACACTGTTTCTTTGTGAAAAATGGCAATCAAGAGAGGGTTAAAATTTTTGTTTAAATTGAAAACATGGTCAAGGGCTACTGAGATCTTCACAAAAAATTAGAGAAAAATCTCCATGAACATGTGATTTGGAAGAAAGCCAGAACCTCCATAAATGGCTCCTTGTTTACATATCTGAGAATTTTTAAGGTTTCCAAATAGCTCCTTGTGAATGTCAATGGTCTACTAAATAGGAAGCCCCCATTTTACACCTCCTCACTCACAGCTGCCCCATCCTGTCTTTTAGATCTTAAAAGTCATTTCTTATACTCCCTCTCTTTGGTCTTCAAAGCCAGTTCTCACCCTTGAGTTTGATCCAATGCTTTCTCTTTTCCCTGTGTCATTGACATTCTATGTGTCTCTTACCGCCTCTACCACATTCTTTCAGAGAACACCTCGGTGTATTAGGAATTCGGCAAAGTGGACCTATGTTGTTAGTGTTCTAACTCCACAGTGATTGCTCTAAAATGATTTTGCGAGTTTTGGTCCAGCTATATTATTGATATCTACAAAAGGCAGAAGCTGACTTAGAAAATTTATCATCACAATCACACCATTTCTGTGGGAACATGTGTTGGAATTCCAAACAAATAACATGGAATGCAACTTGTGACTAAGTGGAGGCCACCTGCAGCCCAGTAAAGGCAGGAAGACAATTTTGACAGATACCAGTTGCTTCAGTGCTTTGTGCCAGGTGGGCCAAAGCTGCAGTTTGTGTGTAGAGCTATGGTAAGTCACTGTGTGTGCATGTGCACACAAGCATGTGTGCACATGGTAGCAAGGAGGAGAGAAAGAAGCAACTTCATAGTTCACCCAGCGTTCAGATTTGAACATTTGGCATTTTAGAACTTTGGCCCTTGTAGACTTCAGGTGTTACATTTCCTTTTTCTTTTGCTAATGGATGTCATAGACTACAAATAGGCAACCGGGTTCAAGAAACTTCTTTTGAATTTCAGAAGAAAGTTACTTAGTTCACAGGGCAATAAAGCTAGGCACAGGCAGACTTTTTGAAGCTCTAAGCCAGCGATTCTCAATGAGGTTGCACACTGGAATCGACAGGGAGCTTTTATAACCTACCAATGCCTGGCACTACTTCAGATCAATTGAATCAGATTCTCTAGGGTGAGGCCCAGGAAATCGATGTGTATGTATTTGTATGCACACACACAACCCCCCAGGTGATTTTAATGTGCAAATTGGGTTGAGAAGCACTGCTCTAAGGGTGTGACACTCAAGCTTGTACCTCTTTGGAAGTGATGCTAAGACCTAATAATCTTATCTGGGCAAGGATCCTACACCCACTCCTGCAGAGGAGGCTGTTTATGGACATTTTTCTTTTGTGACATTACAGGTACCTGATACTTTTGAAGAGAATTGGATCTCCTTTTTAATAAACAATGTTCTCTCTTTCAAGGGAAGAGGAGGAGGTAGAATTGAAATCCAGTAAGAGAATTGAAGCAAATAATTCCAGGCACAGATGACAGAAAGTTCTACATATCCATTACATAAAGGTGACTAATCCTTTTAGAAGAAACATAATTTGTACTAAATTTTCCCTTCTTTGGAATTATCTATAAATTTCTAAATTAACTTATAGCTGCTGAGACATTTCTTCCCCATATTCCTCCTCCCAATGTGCTTTTCTTTTATTTCTTTTGCTACTTATTAAGAGAGAATGAGGAGAGGAAATCTTTTATGTATTTATTTCAAAGGCAACATGTAAAATTTTATCAAAGCAGGAATCCAATTAAAAATACCTTCTTCTTTGGCTCATTAAGCAGTTCAGCAAGGAGTTATCAGGAAAGGGACTTAAACATTAGTTCCCCTGGAACAGAATTGGTCAGTATCTGGGATACATGTAACGAGTTGAGCCACCAGAAGAGTGTAATTTGTGGGTTAAACAAACAGGAATCAACACCCAAGGTCTTAATCAAAACTGGAGGCTATATCAGTTACTGTCTCAAGGTAAATTAGAGTGAGGAAACTGATCTGCTTTAGAAACTAAGTTAATTTTCTCCTGGGGTTGGGGAATGATGCTCTACCCCTCTAAGGGTGGGATGCCTGGTTGAATATTCTGATTCATTCTATCTGAATTCACAAGTGAAGGCTTTGGAGTCAATGGCTCTGCAGTGAGAAGAACATGAGGAAGGCAAAAAGCTGAGGCAATGGGGAGAAATAGAGAAAGGTGAGGAGTAGAACATAGTAGACGTAGGAATGAAAATGGGAGGTGTGAGAACGGTGCACATTTAAATGTCCATTCTCATCTAATCTCATTTGTAATTCATTTATTCTCATTGCACACTGACTCATCTCTGAGCCAAGAGAAACTTGAATGAACTGCAGATGTTTGGCTCTTCAGTTTAGAATGGAATAATGACCTGTCATCACTCATTGGTCATTGATGAGTACAGGGAAGAGAGTGTGGCTGTATGGCCAGCTGGAGTCACCAACACTTCAGGAAAAACTTTTCAAGATGCACGCACTATCGACGCTGTCATTAAAGCAGAAAACAAATGACCTTCCATGTTGTTATTACCACAGCTTCTGTCAGACTTGTTTTCTGAGCGTCTGGCTACACTGACAGGCCAGTTTAGTTAGAGTGGAGGAACTTGTTCGGCACATAAAGACAGTCATGGGGGCCGGGGGGAAGGGAGGGGAGCATATTACATTTACATGGGCAGGAAGATCACAGAAACATTCTAAACACACCTCTCACAGATTTCCTCTAAAAGCTGAATTTCAGCATAGTAATATCCCTTTAGCATGCCTTGACCCATGACAGAAGAGAGGAGCAGGAAGGCCAGGAGCATGGTCCTATCACATGGTCTAGTGTGCCAAGCTTG